ACATTGGTAGAATTGTTAAGATCTTTGATTTTTACAAAACACATAGTTAGAATAGATTAATAACCCTCTAAAATCAGGTAGGGTCAAAGTGTGCATGTCACGTATCTTTTACAAAGTTAATTAAAAATTCAATTAAACAACTTTATTATAAATGTATGTCACTAAGTTGGGCATCATAACATAGTTTATAATTCAATTTTTAGTATAATGTAGGTTTTAATTTTATAATTTCAAAATTAATTATTTAAGTTCTCAATCTCCACTTGTCTGTATCACATGACACTTTTTTGGCTCTGAATTGCTCATTCTGAGCTCTTCTACTACTGTAAGAAGTCCTAACTTTCAGTGGGATTTAAAACATATCTACAACATACTCTACATATCCATGAGCTAAAAATTTGACTTGTAGTGACACAGGTTTTTGCTTTATGGAGATATACACAATAAAGTGAAGGCCACATGCTACAGCTCTTGTAAAACATCCTTTTTTTTAAAAAATATCACAAATTTTCTCTCATATTTGCTATTGGATTATTTGCAACAAAAAGAAAGTGAAACTTTCAATTTGACTACAGCTATGGAGCCTCAAGCCCTTGGAATAAGCAGATTTGAATATTTTAGCAGTGTTTTCTTTGTTTGTCTTGTTTGGAACTCTCCTTAACTAGGTATGGGAATTTCTAACTTAGTTAGAAAGCCATATAAATTATATTAATTTTAGAACATTCTATTTTATATGCATGGCAAATATTTATATTATAAATTATATTATTCTGACAACAACAAAAATTCTGAGACCAAGCATATTACTGTTACTAAGATTTAGGGCTACTCTTTGATGTTGACTTCTATCATACGAGTGCCAAAGCTTGAAAAAACAAGATTTCAGACTAAAATAATAAATTTCTTGGTTTTGATGTATATTTTTTATTTATTGTTACAAACATATCTAAAACATAAAAATTGGAAACTTATTACACTAGATAAGAAAACTTGAATGAAATTAAATAAGCAAAATATTTATGATCAATGATAGCACTCAACCAAGCAAAAGCACAGTTGTGTAATTTGAAGGAAGTGTACTGGTAACTGGATCCATTGTTTACACAGAGCTGTCCAGCATAGTATATAGCTATCATCATAGTCTAAGATGGTTTAAAAGTACAACTCTAAAGAAATAAAACTAAATAAACTCTATTAACTTTGACTGTAAAATTAAATAGTTTAATTGTCTGTTATAATGTGCAGTCATTCTAGAAATAAAATTATTATTCTATATTTTGCATTTTTTGTTACATGATGTTTTACTGACAAAAATTGACATTGATTTAGGAGGTTTTAAAGGTAATGAAAATAAAACTTGAAAACTGTGACATGACAAAATGTATTTTTGATCTTAACATGAAAATCGCCTTACACTCTAACTGACTCAGTAAAGGCTTCAGAAATTCACAGACAAATCTTTAATAAAAAATACTTAATTAAAATATCTGATTTTCTATGTACACAAGACTTGTAATATTTACTAAAATAATTTTGTGAAGATATGCTTAACTACAATAAAAGTTATAGTACTGTTAGATACTTCCACAATTCCATGGTGGCTGCAAGGTCAGTAAAATTGATAGACTGAACAAAATCAGTTAAAAAGTTGGTAGAATAGTGAAAATGTGATATTTGTACTAAGAACATAATCTGAATAGTTTCCATACTGTAATGTCATTACAATTGTCAAAATGTGCATGATACATACAAAACACATAATTAATATAGTTTCCATTGTAGTAGCATGATTATTATACTGGCAGTTTAAGTTATCAGGTGAAAATAATTCAACATCCAGTACAGTAATAAATCAGTTAATTTCTTCCCTAATGCTTTTTACAGTTTTACATTTCGTAATTTGTGGTAGGTCCACATTTATAAACTTCTCTAACAAAAGTACTA